GTCTCACTTACCGCTCTCCACCTTAAATTTCTCATGCCTCCCCTTCAGGCCATCGATCTCGGATTGCTGATCAGCAAGGAACTTTTCAAGTTTGTTCTGGACGGACTTAGGCAGCTTGTTGAGCTCCGCGCGCTCCAGGACTTGCTGCAATACCGCCGCCATGTCGGTCGGGCCGGGCCCCACGGTGGCAGTGGCCGACGGGGTAAAAGCCGAGGAGAAAGCAGTAGACCAGGAGGACCCAGAAGCCTGGGCCGCCGCCTCGGCCGCCTCACTTGAGGGCTCGCGCGCGCCCGCCCGCCGGAGACTCCCGCGGCGGTACCCTGGGAAACCGAGTCCTGCTTTATCCGCGGCCCCAGCCGCCCAGCACCACCCGCGCCCAAACTGCGCGCGCAGGGCCGGGAGCCGTGCAACCTGGGAATCCGAGTTCAGAGGTTGCCTCTGACCCTGCTGTGCGCCTCGATTTCCGGCTTCCCGCTCCACCCACTTCGGGCCTCGCAAGGCTCTGGGAAACGTAGTGTTGTTCTCATTCCCTTCCGTAAACCCGATCCACACCGCCCGCTGCGCTTCCTCCTTTCTCCCCGCCCCCCGGCTCTCCGCACTAAGCCGCGTGACTACTGTCCGCGCGGTGGCGCTACATACTCGTCGACCCACGTCCCTCTGTGAAGAGAAGGACGCCTTACCGTCAAAACCCCGGGATGCCATGGGTCGTCCTCTTTGGCGGCTTCTGGACACTGAGCCGCTAGAGGGCATCGGTCCCGGCGGGGCCGGTCCGCAGGCCCCTGGCTACCGCCACGCTCTCTATGGCGCCCGGAAGGGGGCGGGGTGGCGACCGCAGTCGCTTTGGCTGAGGCTCTGCAGAGAACGCAGGGTGGGCAGCTTGCGTCATCAGTCGGCGCCACCTGACTCCCGAGACCCTGTTTTTGGAGCGGGAAGTGAGGTGTGAGAGTCGGTCGCTTTCTGATGAATTCATTGGCGGTGGAATTGGGACCTGAGGGTAATCTATCCCCTAGAGGCAGGCTCTTACACCCTAAGCCTTCATCTAGGGAGGACGGATTTATCTGCCACGAGTGCACATTCTGAAAACAGGTGAGACAGCCTAAGGATATAATATATGTGTATGTGCACTCGGTCACACAGCTTCCCTTTAAAGCAAGAAAGGAAGGGAAAAGGTGTAGGAAACATATGGATTGTCACTGCCGTACACAGCTTTGACAGTTTGCCTTTTCTGTGAAACGTCGTATCTAGATGCCTTTTGGGCATGGCGCGGGGGGATACTGAATGATTCAAAGGATTTTAAGTAGCCCGGCTTATGGTTCAGGATGACGGTTAAAAGAAACCCGGAGTTTAGCCTGTGGTTAGCCTGTGTTTTAATGTTTCATTTTAGAAAATGTTATCTAACATCTTGTTTTTAAAATTGAAAATGGTTGTAACTGAAGTCTTTAAACACATTCTTTAAAACCACTTCCCGCCCTGCCACCTTAACAGAATTTATTTCCAGATCATAATTCTGTAATATCTAAACTCAATCTGTCATTGCTTTATGTTTGATTACTTCCTTAAAGAATTATTCTGTTTTGTAAATAAAACATTTCTAATGTCCTCTTTGCAGTTGCCTATTGTGAATTGATGATTTCCCAAGTGAAATTTATTCTTTTTTTCTAGTTCATACTGTCGAATCTGCTGTTTTGAAGCCATCTAAGAAATAAAAACAGAAGCATCTTACCTATGATATTTTATGATAACTAAAGAAAAGTAAATCAGTTAGGAGTTTAAGGTTGATTTTTTCCTCTATATTTTATAGATGAGCACTTTAATTAAGGTTGCTTATATGTGAAGTACTGTGCTATTTCTTTGCCCCATACTGTTGATCTATCATTCAAGAAATACAGCTATTCTGTACTTAAACTAACAGAATCCTAAAATTAGACAGGTTTACAGATCTGCTAGGATCCAGATTCTTTCTTTTGTAGGTTAGGAAACCACATTCTAGGGAGGTTGAGTTGTCTTACCTCACAGTGTTTAGACCACAAAAGTTTATAACATTTTGCGAAAATTATAACTGTATAAGGCAAGATACAGTTGTTCCTTAGTATCCATGGGGCATTCATCCCAGGACCCCTCAGGGATACCAAAATATGTGGATGCTCAAGTTCCTTATATAAAATAGTGTAGTATTTGCACATAACCTATGCATGATCTTCTGTATTCTTTAAGTCATTTCTAGATTACTTATACCTAATAGAATGTAAATGCTATGTAGATAGTTGTTATACTGTATTATTTAGGCAATAGTGACATAAAAAATGTCCGTACATGTTCAGTACAGATGCAGTCATCATTTTTTCCTCAAATATTTTGAGTTCACAGTTGGCCGAATCCAAAGATAGTAGAAAACACAGAGATGGGGAGAGAACAGTATATATTTTTAGTTGTGCCTTTTATAACATATGGTTGACTACGTTTAAAAATTTTGAAAGCGCATTAAAGAAAAATTTATCTGGCATTCATCCAGATTTCATAATCAAATAGATTTTCATCTCCCTATTGCATTCAGTTTCTTACACATTGCTATGGCTAGTAGGTGACACTAGGAGAAATAAGGATAGAAGGTTAAATGTAACTTTGGAGTTACTTGTTATTTCTTGCAAGAATGAAGAAGAAAAGGAGAGTAGAAGAAAAGGAATAGAATAACATGATATAGTAAATGCATACATTAAAGCATTACTAAAAGTTGAAAGCCCTTAACTAAAGGCATCAATGATTTAGGCAGACAGTTCTACGCTCAGTCTTTAAAAAAATGGTATTCAAACCTATGCACTTTTCACCCTTGTCAGAAAAGAGCTAGAAAGAAATTAATGCATTTTGAGACAAGACTGAAGAGACTCTTGGAAGCAGTAACAAAATAGCATCTAATAGGTCATTTCAAACTTGAACCCATCTTCTGAGCTTTAATTTTAGAGAAATGCAAAACCACTGGCAGTTTACTGTGTTAGATATACCATTTGCAGAACTCAAATGACTTTTATCTCTAAATTGCAATATTCAAAATGTTGCAACTGTATTCCCACAGTCTCTGGTTATATCTCTTTGATAGCCTTTTTGAGTATCATCTCTGTACATTTTCATCTTCCTGGACTAAATGTGAGTTCCTTGATCATTTGTTATTGCCTAACTCTTTTATTTAATATCTTTGGTTTTAAGCTATGGAACCTCAAATCAGAGAAGCATAAGGCAATCAGAGGGTTTCCATTCTCAAACTGGAGATAGAGCAGAATAGAAGCTACCTTTATTGATGATTTAATTGAGGGACTGGTTATGATTCGTAAGTGTGAATGTAGTATTGAAGAACATAGATTTTAGAACCAGAGTAAGTTTATATTCCATCTTTGCCACTTAATCAGCTTTGTCACTTGGACAAGATATTTAATTAATCTTTCTTGTTTCAGTTTCTTCATCTTAAGATGAAGATTATAATAATCATACCTACCTCATTGAGTTTTTGTGATTGTTAAATATTACATGTAAAGTACTTAGAATAATGTCTTAGACAAAGTAGAAGCTATATAAATGTCATGATTGCATTGCTATTTATCTATATACACAATTCTAACAGTATTGTGTCTTCTTTAAGGGAAAGAGCAAATGCTACTAATCTTTGTGTTATCTCATCTGGAATAATTTCTAGCAAATAATATTCTTCATTATGTACTTATTGAGTAAATGAAATTGATTCTTCTCTTCAATGAACTATTCAGAAATTCATCTTTTCGATTTGGGAATGAGAATACTCAGGCTTAGCAATAGGTTACCAAAGAAAATACAACTAAGGAATAGATCTTAGAAATAAGAAAGCATGTGTGTTGATGACTTTGAGTTTAGTGTCCTTTCCTTTATACTAGATATGAGAAATAGGTTTAATCTCTTTTGTCAACTGTGGTTGATTGGTAGTTGTCCTGAAGCACTGTGTTGAAGAGAATTCTACAACTACGTTTAAACTTTGCAAAAAAGAGTAATAAGCAATCACTGTAAGGCATGGGGAAGTATTAGCACAGTACCACTTCTCTTAGTATGATAAAAATGTTGCAAATTATATTTAAAAATGCCAATACTTTTTTTTCTTGTAATTTAGATTGAATTAGTTCTCTATAATGGGAAGAACGTACATTGTAGAAGAGACTGTTGGCCAGTATCTTTCAAACATCAATCTCCAAGGAAAGGCATTTGTCTCTGGCCTTTTAATAGGACAGGTATGCATCTTTTATTCTGCATGTATTGATAAAACATTATTTAAAGTTAAAGTCTGCTATTTAACAATAAAGTCAGAAGTAAATTTAAAGTGAATTATTGAAGCAATATGTAGAGAGGTAGGACATACCTAGCACAGGTTTGCTCAAGTCAGAATAATGTGTTCCTTTGATCATATAACAGTAATTTATAATGTAGAGATTCCAGAATTAGAATTTTATTAATCAAATTATTAGCATTTTGTTGTCTTCCTAAAGTGTTTCCTATTCTCTTCTAATCTTCTAATCTAAGATGTCTAATTCTTTATCAAAGATGTGTTTGATAGTTTTATTCTCATTCTAGTTTGTCTTGTCCTATTTTAGACTTGTGACAAGAGTGGTCATATTTTTGTTAGAGGCTGCAGTACCCATCTTCATTAATTTTGTTTTTTAAAGTTGACTCATTAAGAGAGGAAGAAAGGGATTAGGGGAATTTTGGAAATTACACAAATTTCTATTTTCTTTATAGTCAACATAAAATGGAACAGAAATTTGGATACTTGGAGAAAAAAAGCTTAAACAGCCATTGATTTATTATAGTACAAAGAAGAATGTGATAATCGGCAGGAAGGACTGGTCAGCGGTACAAAACTCCCTTGCCCCTGCCTAAAAAAGAAGAGTCTCATATGCAAACCGGCATGCTAAATGGGGAGTGTACTGTGGCCCACATGGCGCCATGACTTGATTTTGAGGCCTGGTAGCAAATAAAACTCTTACGTGACTATTTGCTTTCTGAATATCTTTGCCATAGGTCTTAGAATATTCAAATTGCATAATTAACTTCACTTATTATGAATCTATCCATATTCCCAAGCTACTTTCTTTTGTAACTTGATGCTTTATGTTATCT